AGAGGGGGGCCGGGGCAGCCCGCAGGGGAGGGGCCTGAGGTGGGACCAAGGCAGCGCTCTGGGCCCTAGAGGGAGGGGTGCTGGGGCAGTGCGGGGGACCACGTGGAGGTCCCATCCCTGCCCCTGCTTTGCAGCGTGACCTTGAGCAAAGGGCTCATCTGTGTGAGGGTCCGCCTGCTCGTCCGGAAAATGGAGAAATGGGCCACACCACATTGTCCTGACAATCACATGAGATCCTGCACCTGAGACCTGCAGAGCCGTGGCAGAGCACGGCGACCTTCATAAATAGTTGGCCCTGATTCTAAGAAACGTTGCCAGTCACGCGCTCCCTGCAACTATTTCAAAGCCTGGGCAGAGCTCCGCACCGTGCGCTCCTTAGAATGACCTCAGGAGCGAGCTGCCATCCTCCCCCACTCCCCCCCAGGTCCTTTCCTGATCCCCATGCCCTCTTCTCAACAATGGAAACCTCCGCCTGTCCTCAAATGAAAAAAACTCAGGTTTTCCTTTCTCTTAAAAATTAATATGCAATTGTGCATACACATTATATAAAAACCCATTCCCCCAAGGGAGAGTAATTCATTCATTTTTTAAAATATATTTGTTGCTGATTTCAGAGAGAAAGGGAGAGAGAGATGGAAACATCAATGATGAGAATCATTGATTGGCTGCCTCCTGCATGCTCCCTACTGGGGACTGAGCCCTTGACCTCCTGGTTCCTAAGTCGATGCCCAACCACTGAGCCACACCAGGAGCAGGAGAGCAATTTATTTTGACTGGAGTAAATTTGAAAGGCTATATGAGGGTGTCCCAAAACAATGTATGCACACTTTAACAGCTGGTAGCTCAATTTTGAAAATGAAATGTATTTTAATAAACACTGCCTTTATAATTATTCAGAGTGTGTGTATATATTTTAGGGGGGGACACCCTCTATAGTGAGATGACAACTCTTGAACTAGTCTTAAAAATAAGGGTAGTATCTTATTGGAGGGAGGGGATTTCTTTTTTTAAAATTAAATGTTTATTGTTAAAAGTCTTACAGGAGAAACCAAGATGGTGGCATAGGTAAACACCAGAGATTGCTGCCTCGCACAACCACTTCAAAAATACAACTAAAAGATGGAATGGACATCATCCAGAACCACAGGAAGGCTGGCTGAGTGGAAATTCTACAACTAGAAGGAAAGAGAAAAGCATACCGAGACCCAGAGGAGGTGCGGTGCGGAAGTAAAGTACAGAGGTGTGGAGGCACACACGGAGAGGGCTGGTGGCTGAGGACAAGGTTGTCTTTTTCAATTGGGAGGGAGTCTCAAGCTCTGAGCTCCAGTTCCAGGCGAGTCTCCGGGGACCCAGACTCATACGGGAGAAACTGGACTGTCTGGCGGTCAGAACTCAAGGGCAACTTTCTCTCAGAGGTGCTT